TGCTTCGTAACGAACCGCCCCCACGACACGTGAGACGACACCTGCACGACTGGAAAGCGGACATTGAGCCGTACGTAGACCATCCATTCGACGCAGCAACATACAGAGCGGCGCTCAACAGCCTACACAGCGATGCGGTCAGAACGAGCCTCAGTACGCGTAATGACAACATCGTCTTGGGCGGTCGACCGCCGCCCATAGACCCAGAAGAAATAGAGCTGCCGAGAGAGACCAGGTGCACCCTAGCACAACTCCGTTCTGGGTGGTGTCACCGACTCAACAGCTACCTCTCTCGGCTGAACACACAAGTGGAAAACACATGCCCTGCATGTGGGCAAGGTCCTCACGACACCCAGCATCTCTTCACGTGCACCTCCAACCCTACGACCCTGACACCAGAAGCGCTCTGGACCGCGCCTATCGACGCAGCCCGCTTTCTCGGCCTCAGGCTCACAGAGTCGGAGGATGAAGACGACGACACATGACAAATCTGGGGGGTTGAGCACTGCTGCTACAACAACAACAACAACAACAACAAAGGCCAAAATACAATAGCGCAGTGGCAGTGGCAGTGACAGTTTATAAAATCAGCTTTTTTGACATTCCCTTTTGTTTGTTTACATTTTTGTTGTTGTCTTTTAGGCTTCAGTGACATGAGCAGAAGTTGGCTGCATTTTATTTATGTCAAATTCAGCATGCGAAGTTTGCTGCGATGCAAGCAGTGGCAGTGAATTTAGAATTTGGGCTAAACTGAGCAGTACTGCCAGCTGCCACTGCTGTATTGTGAGTCGCTTCATTGGACACCACACTTTCTAAAAAACAGCTGATTTCGAAAAACTGCCACTGACACTGCTACAGCGTTATTATATTTTCGGCTTAAGTCTGGGCATGGCGAGTACTGCGACAGGATGCCTCCTGATGACGCCTCAACACCACCTTCATGACGAGGCCCAGATGCTCCCAGTAAAGGAGCATAACATAATGCTCTGCAAGCAGTTCCTTGCTGGGAGCCACAGACGTGGCCATCCCAGCGGACAACTGCTCGCGGAAGAGCCCTCGCCACGGCACGTCAGGAGGCATCTTTACGAACTGACGGACGAGGTCCAGAGGTATATCAAACAACCTCTGTACCCGTCAACCTATCGACAGGCCCTGAACGGCATTCACAGGGAATCAGTCTCAAGTTATGTGGACTCCCGCCCTGTGAATGCCGTTCTAGGCACACAACCACCGGACGTGGACGGGACAGAACTTTGTCTGCCTCGGGAGACCCGCACTACAATAGCCCAACTGTGCTCTGGCTATTGCAGCAGGCTCAACAGCTACCTGAGCAGAATCAACGAGGATGTGCCCAACCAATGCCCGGCATGTGGAGAGTCGCCACATGACTCCCGGCACCTCTTCACATGCCCTGAGAACCCCACTCAGCTAACGCCCCTGTCCCTATGGACAGCCCCTGTGGAAGTAGCACACTTCCTGGGCCTCCCCCTAGCTGAAATTGACGACAACGTTGATGGTTAGTAGCCGCTACAACAACAACAACAATATCGCGAGTACTTTCATCGCGATGCGCATACAACACAATTCGTCATACACCATACTGACGTTAAAAAAATACATTTGAAAGAATTTTAACAGAAATTGTTTACCTTCCTCAAATTTTATCCGCTCATTGCTATAGGTTTGTTGCACACGAGCCCGCGGGTGTCCAAAACAGCCCAGAAAGCGTTCCTCACGCTAGAAAAATGGGTAATAGAGGGCGAATACCTTCCACTTTTGGATCGTAAATGCCTTCTTATTCGTGCCCGTAACAGCCCGGACTTGTTTTCCGGGCAGAAATGTACAAGAAATCAATTTGAAATAAAAGCTGTTGTTTGATTACATCCGATAGCCAATTTTGTAAAATACAAAAATGGAAAACAGCACTAAAGGTTCAGAAATGTAGGTATTGGCTAATTTCACTAGCTATATAAGTTAAATGCACAAAGAATCATTGTTTATAACTAATTGGTCGACCCCGGGCACGAAAAGCGGTTTCTGCGCTCCTCACGCTCCGTGCGCTTTTGGCACGGGTTGACACTTGTGAAAGAGTAACTTATTTTTACGCTCTTATTACCGAAACAGCCCGGAAAGCGTGTGGAACAAACCTTATATTTGCACTTTGTTTGTTGTTGTTGTAGCGGCTACAACAACCCCGCCCAGATCGGTTGATATCTCAGTCGTTGTCGTCGAGTTCCACTAACCGCAGCCTCAAGAAGCGTGTAGCCTCTATGGGGTCGGTCCACAGGGACGACACCGTTAGGGTTGTGGGGTTTTCCGGGATGCGAAGAGATGTTTCGAGTCGTGAGGGGTCTCTCCGCATGCCGGACATTCATTCGGCACATCCGCATTTAGCCTACTCAGGTAGGAGTTTAGCCTGCTGCAGTAGAAGTTGGGCTATTGTTGTTCTGGTCTCCCGAGGCAGATGGAGCTCCGTCGCGTCAATGTCCGGTGTTTGTGTGCCTAGAACGGCACTCACACGTCTGGAGTCCACATAACTCGAGACTGCGTCCCTGTGAATGCCGTTCAGGGCCTGTCTGTAAGCTGACGGTTCCAGAGGCTGCTTAATGAACCTCTGGACTTCATCCGTCAGTTCATATAGATGCCTCCTGACGTGCCTTGGCGAAGGCTCCTCTGCAAGCAGCTGTCTATTTGGGTGGCCACATCTGTGGCTCCCAACCATAAACTGCTTGCAGAGCATCGTGTTGTGCTCCCTAATTGGGAGCATTTTCGCCTCATCGTGGAGGTGGTGTTTTGGTGACATCAGGAGGCATCCGGTCGCTGTCCTAAGTGCTGTGTTTTGTACTGTCTGTAGCTTCATCCACTGCGTCCTACTAGTCCCCGGCGACCACACTGGTGCTGTGTAGTTTAAAACCGGCCGGCCTATTGTCTTGTAAGTTGCCAGCAACGTTTCTTTGTCCTTGCCCCAAGCACTGCCGGCTAGCGACTTGAGGACCTTGTTGCGGCTCTGAACTTTATTGACAATAGCGGTTGCGTGCGCAGAAAAGGAGAGCAGGCTGTCGAATGTTACTCCGAGTATCTTGGGATTGTTCATCGTCGGAATTGGTGTGTCATCGACGTGAATTCCCAGCGGTAGCCTGATCCCCTTCGTCCAGGTTGTGAACTNTCACTGCAAGTGAAAGCAAGGGAGGCACAGGTTGTTGGCTGTTTGTGCAGCCTTCTGGTCACTCGACGCTTGGCTTTGTCTACCGGAGGATGCAGTATGAACTGCCGGCTAAAATAGCTCGCGCATCGCTCCGGGTCCGACGAAGCATGGTCGCTGAAAGAAATTTCGACTCTGTCGTCGTGCTTCGTCGGATTGGACAGTGACCTCACGGTTGACCAAAGCTTACTCACACCAGAAGTGAAGTTACAGGTATTCAGATGCTCTTCCCACTTCTTCCGCTTATGTACGTTTACTAGTTGCCGAATCTCCGCGTTGAGATCTCTCATACGGGGATCTCCGGGATCGGCCTGACGAAAGCTATCACGCTCATCGGCTAGAACAGCCGCTTCAGTAGGGAAATATGGACGTGGGTCCGTAATACATCCGCCGGTAAATTCACCATTACCACCACCTTGTATAAATTCGCCTTGACATACAAGGTGGTGTTGAAGGAACAAAAACAAAAAACTACAACAACAAATTATATACACATTGACAATCACTACAAAGCAAAATTACAACAAACACATAATTTTGACAAAAAGTAAAAATTCGCCGTGAACTCAGCGGATCCGATAACAGCACCGCTTGAAAAGAGTGATAGTAGTGTGGCGAATACTGCGGCAACACAAAGCGAACAACGAGAAATAACCAGAATGTTCGAGGAATGACGTAGAATGTTCCACAATGAGAAAACGTCAAGTTGGATGAACACTGCAAACAGCGAGAGAAAGAGAATGAGCGATGAACTTCAGAACATTCTAGAGCAGCCATGAGTGCGAGCGCAGGTATATAAGTGCCACCAGACAGCGGAGTGAGTCAGTTACAAGTCAGCAAGCTACAAGTAAAGTGAGTTACGAATAAGCAAGCTACAAGTTTAATTGTGTTAACAGGTTTTGTAAAGCGTTGTAATTGCTTTAACGAGTATTGTGAAGTGTTTTTACGGTATTAGCGAGTATTGTAAATTGTTTGTTGAACAATAAAATTAATTGTACTACAATTTGGCCATCGTGAGCATTCATTTAACAATCCAGCGATACGAACCGAATGATATTTGGGAAGGTTTCGAGGATAATCGTAACAGTAGGTTGGTTCGTCCAAAATCCAGCAAGAATTATCCAACACTCAAAATATCAGAGAGTAAGAAAAAATTCTCTCAAACTCTATATCATGTTGAGAAACTTCCAAATTTCTGCACGAACGCATGTTTGCAGGAAATTGCAAGTTTCCCTGCCAGCTGGTGACCACGGTTGCATTTCGAATATATTAAATTTTTATAGAATTTTTTAAATTCTTTCAGATGGACAAAAACAGGATATACATGTATATTTCTTGTTGTTCTGACTTTCTTTAGCACACGTTTCAATTTCTTTATCGTACTAGCTGTCGTGTTGCTTAAATCGACTCTGGTTGCAATTGCATTCCGATTGCGAATACATTTTTTTCCGCCGAGTTAAGTTCAAATCATTGGAATTAACTAAATTAATTATATCAACAAGCATTTACTTCCTTTTTTCATAAAAAAATCACTCGTGTTTATAAATTTTTAAATTTAACAAACTTATTTATTCAAATTATCGTAGACAAAAATGCAATCATGCGCCACAATCACATGTTTTTGGTGTTTGCAAATTCTTGCTGGCAAAATTTTTTCCAGCAAGAATTTGCAACTTCTCTTCAAGAGAACTGTCACTTTGCTCTCACAATTTTTGAGTGTTGGATAATTTTTTGGTCCGCACGAACTCGATTTGGGCAAAAATCATGATAATTCGTACAAATTCGTGCAAATTTTTTTGCTCGACGAACACACCTTATCACAATTGAAAACGAAACGATACGATCGATGGTGCATAACCTCAACAATCGAAGCATTTCTACTTCAACGTGTATTTGTTGAATATTTACAATAAGTTTGAAATAAAACCTGCAATTCTTCTATAAATTTTGTATTAATGACAGCCTTAGTCTTGTTTATAATAAATTTGTAAAAACGTTTATAATTATAGGTCGTCGAAGCTTTATACCTAATAAAGATGTAGTGAATCGATTTTTTTTAATCGATAGGTCGCCATTTTGATACATCACTAAATTAAAGTATCCTAATATCACTCGTGCCAGCGTGAAAAAGGCTATGTGCTTATAGTCAATTACACAATAGTAATTAAACAAAATGGATAACTTTAATTTGGGCGGCTCCCAGCTGTCTCGCAATGAAATCATTCAGTTATTTTTACGTGTCTCCGTTGCATCAGTCATTACATTTTATTCAGTAAAATGGAT